GCGCCCACCTCCTGCTCCCTTTTCTCAGGCTTAGGTTTCATCCTTCCTTGCCTGTCTCAGTAGCCTTTTGTCTCCTTCAGTCTAATCTATCTTCTGGACTCCCAGAATCAAATTAAGAAACAAATTAATTGTTTCTTTTTGAAATTTTAAAATTTTTTATTAGTGCAAGTTTGCAGGACATCATGGGGAATGCATGTACACAGCACATCTTATTCTTTTTCATCCTCTTCTTTTCCTTCCCCTCTCCCTCCATCTCTTGATCCTATTCCTTTTTGTAAAAGATCTATCTCCCTGTTTGCTGTTATCTTTTATTTTGATTTTTATTGGCTTTCTCATAAAACAAACCATGCAATATTTAAGATTATTTTACTAAACATTGTAGTCTCACGGTACATCCATTTTCCTACAAATGACTCAACTGTATCTTTTATGGCAGAGTACTACTCAATTGTATATAAATACCACTTTTTCTTTGTCCACTCGTCTATGGCTGCTTCTAAGAGTGGCTATGATGAATCATGCAGCTATAAACATGGGAATTGGGCTTATTATTCTCTGGAAAATCTCAGTGACCTCTGCCTGGTAGAGAGCACAAAATCGACTCCAGGACCTGCACAGCTGTGTCTCTGTCCTGGTGTTATCACTCATCTTCCCCAACTCACTGAGAGCACACTTTCCATGGTTGTGTGACGCTGCCCCCTGCCTTTCCTCCACAGCCTCTGTGCACAGCTCTGGAATCTGGCATTGCTCCCCAGTAGTGAGCAGGAATTATAGCCACCTTGCCTGCAGTTAGGAATTGAGGGCATCCCACTCACCACGTGTCCCCAGCACCAGCACCCCATGGAACATGCTGAGTTTCCTTCCCACAGAGAAAGGAATATGCCTGTTCTCTCTCTCTCTCTTTCTCTCTCTCTCTCTCTCTCTCTCTCTCTCTCTCTCTCTCTCTCAAGTGCAGAGTATTTTTGAACTGCTAAAACAAATCCTTTCATGGAACTTTCAAAGTGCTAGACTATAGAAACTCAGGAGTCTTAAGAAAAACATCAGAAATAAAATGATACACAAGAATATAGGGTTTTTTTTCTCATGGAACTTAATTTTTAAAATATGATTTGAAGTTGTCCAAAGTGAAATCAACCCAAGATTTTGATTTTAAAGATTGACCCAAGATGTAAAACCCAGCTCTCCTTGGTTCCCTACCTGTCTGTCTGTAGTGGTACCAGGGATTGAGCATAGGGGTCTTCCCACAGGAAACTCTATCTCTAGGCCACAGCTCTAGAGCAGGAAATAAACCCTACAGTTTTGGGGTGTCCTCTCTGTGCTCACCCATTTGCTTTCATCCTGTGTGAATTATTAGCAAAAGAGTGAATATGTTGAAAATTGTCCATCGTTAGTTTCAAATTCTGAAGGTTTACTCCTAATGTGGTGGTGAAATATCCTAGGCAAGTGAGGGTGAACCTTTTAGAAAGCAAGTGCCCAAACCATACCCCAAGAACCACTTATTTATCACAAAGTGCCAACATTGCAGTTAAAACTGCATACTGAGTTTTTTTTAGAAAAAACTCACACTTGGCTCTCATGCTGACAGAAGGCTCTGTGTGTCCACACATGCCACAGGTTCGCCACCACTGTGGACTAGGCTCTCTTCGCCACTATGGCCTTGCAGACATTGTCCTAACTTTAGGGTCCTGAGAGGTAGTCAGGATCCAGAAACCTGGCTGGAAAAGGAGTCTTTAGGATTTCACTCCAGCACACGGAGCGGCTGTCATCAATATCTGTTGCCTAATGTGCATCAGCTTCTGCTCTATGCACTGGGACACAGACACAGAATAAAAATGAAGTCCCTCTTATGAAACTTGTTCCACTGGGGGAGACAGACAAAAACACCAGCCAGTGATGAGTGCTACAGAGACAGTGACATAGAAAACAGATTGGTCTGTTATAGAGGTAGCCAGACTGAGGCCAGAGGAGGGTATCTGTGCGGGAGTGGACAGCGCAGATACCCACGACAGGGCATCCCTGAGGCAGGAGAACTGGCAAGGACAAAGGTCCTGTGAGGATGAAGTCTGGAGACCAGGACTGCCAGAGACACATTCAGGTGAGTGCAAGTGAGGAAGAGACCTGGTGAAAACGCAGCAGCAGGGCCAGAACAGAAGGTGTGTCACGACCAAGTGGAACAACCTGTCGCTTACAGAAAAGACAGAAGCCTTAGGGAGATGCTGGGCAAGCAGCTGCACATAATGCATTTTAAAAGGATCCCTCTAGTGGTTATGTTAACTGCATGTAGGGCAGGAAGTGGAAGCAGGACCTGCTGGGAGGCTGCTGTAAGAGTCCACGTGAGAGGGAGGCTATGGTGTGTTGGACCAGGTCACCCCTGGTCTCTCCATGCTAATGGCTGGATTTATTGGCTTGTTCTCCATCTACTGTACCTCCTGGTGACAAGACTAAAGGAAGTTTATTTTAAGATATACAATCAATCCTCATTAGCAGACGGCGTGTTTGGAAACTAGCCAACTCACAGAAATTTCCTTGCGACCCCCTTATCAATATTCGTAGTAAGGTAGGATAGAAGAATTAAAGAGAGATAAGGAGAAATTCAATTTTTTGTCTCCCTTATTATCTTGAAACTTTGGGTTGGATCCCCTTTGGCTCAACATGTAGGCATTTTAAGTCATGTAAGGAGTGTCATAAGACAAGGGTTACCACCTCTTCATTTCCCTAGTCTATCTCACCCCTGCTCAATACTGATGAATGTCAGGTAAGAGCAACCAAGCAACTTCCAGGGCTTGCAGGGACAGCCAATTGGTAGCTTTTACAATATCTAGTTCCAGACTCCCCTGGAGCAATGCCCAAGAGTCCCCAAGCTGACAGCCACCTCAGATTCCAGGAAAAACAAGAGCTAGCAGACCCCCATGATGAGATCACCACCCCCAAGTGGAAGCAAGGACCCTTTGATGGAACCGAGGCCTTTTCCTCCCAAGCAAGAACACTTCTCCTGGAGATCTCACTGCCCCCAGGCCATGAAGCTTCCTGTGAGATAATGAAAGCAAAACCTGGCCAGATCAGCTAATCTCTGGAACCTGGTTTGCCCACCTGGGTGGGAGCAGCTGGGCTGATGGTCTGCACCTGGATGGGCCCCTCCAGTTACTCACGCTGGGGTCCTCTCCTCTTCCCCTCGCTTTCATTCTAATGCCTCACTCCGCTGCTTCCTAAAGTTCTGTGATGTGAGTCAAGAATTTACCTGGGCCAAACTGAGGTTCCCATCTACTCTCTCAGGGCCTTGGCGATAGCAGTACTTTTAGTCATTTGCCAACGTGCACAGGTTGGTGAGTTTTGAAAGTAGCCCAAAGAATACAGTCCTAGCTGGGGGTCTAACAAGAAGGCACTTTACCTTCTGGATTGTGCTTTCAAACTGTAAAAGGGGATTCTTGGCATCTGTCTTGTGCCATGCTTTTCTCATTCTTTATCTTGGCAATTTCAGTGTAGTGATCTTCAAGTGCAGTGCTGAGGTCCTGTTTAGTGTTCCCAGGCACCTGGTCTGTGATGGGCCTAGAGAAAGTACCCTCAGGCATAGTGCTGTCGGCAGGACCGTTAGTGAGCCTGGTGCATGTAAAATAGAAACACACGAAATAAGATACAAACTGATGACAGCACCATGACTGGAGGGCTGCAGGAGCTGAGCTCAGGGATGTTCCCAGTGTGAGGGCTCCATATCTGCTCAGCTCTTGTCATGGCTCATTTGGCAGTGTGAGATCCAGCTTGGGCCTCTGCTCCACCGAGCCATACCCCAAGTCTTGGTGGTGACTGTGGAACACTACCAGAAACAAAAATGTAAAAAAAAAAGCAATCACAAGGGCTTGGGTACACAGCCCACATAGAAAACCGCAAGAAACTGTCACTCCTAAGAGCAATCAATCCTGTGTCTGCTCGCGGCAGTGAAGCTTCTGGTCTGGTTCCCATCTCCATGCAAGGCACTCTCCTGGGTCCCACACCTCAGAGGCGGAGTTGACATGGATTTGCCCAGGCAGGGGTAATTTTAAATCTCCCCAGGTGATGTGAATATGCAGGGCACGTTCTCAAACTTCAGTGTGCATGTATGACTCACTCAGCTCTACCCCATTCCTTGATTCCTCCCGGATCTCAGGTGATGCAGCTGCGGACCCCTGGACCACACCGTAAGTGGCTCAGCCTAGGCCACTTCTATGAGGTCCCAGATACCAGAGCACAGGGCCAGGCAGCGACATTCCCTCACAGCTATTCCTGTCTCCGTTCGCTTTTCCTTCGCAGCTTTAACTTCTACCACCCTATTGTTTATGAAGTTCAGCCTGTCCTAGCTGCAGAGCTGCCATTCTTTCCTCACACAGTGCCCAGTTAGTCTACCTGTCCAGTCTCCTATGCTCCTAAGTGGGGCTTCAGGAAGGTGCCTGGGTTGGGCAGGCTGTAACTTCATCCACAGGTTAATCCTAATTCGATGGCTGTTGGAGGTCAGGGAAATCTAAGGCAATGGGTCACAGGCTATGACCTTGGGGATGACATCTTGTCCCCAGCTCCAGCCCTTCTTCCTCTTGGCTTCCTAGCTGCCCCAGGTGAGCAGCTTTGCTCGACCATGCCCTCTACTGTTGTTCCTGCACAGCTTGCCACAGGTCTACCGGCGATGGAGCCAGTGCTCAAGAACAACCCTCGGAAACCAAGTCAGAGTTCTCAAGCCACGCCCTGGACAGGGACACATTATGGCGTGGGTCACTCAGCTGGCCCAAGGACCACACCCACTGATAGGAGCATAAGCCACAGGACCCATATGCATGAGTGTCAGTCCTGCCATCTATCAATTACTGTTACAGAAAACATTTTCCTCCACTGTTTCCATTCTTTCCAAATTTTATTCCAAAAAAGGGGTTTGTGTGAGATTAAGATGTCCATGAAGAGTGATCATCATCATCATCATCATTACAATAAAGTATCCAATTGGACAGAAGAGACAAGTTCACTAGGTCATGTCTTACTTCTCCACCGTGCAAGTTTGTTTTTTTTTTTTTTAAAGCCTTCTTGGACTCGGAAGAATAGAACAATGTCTACATTGAAATCCTTGATTCCATCTCCTATTTATCTTTTTCTTTCTGTTCTTTTTCTTTCTTCTCACGCTCTGCTTTGGCTTCTTCTTCCTCATGTTTTTTGATCAACTGTTCCACTTCCTTTTGCTTGAGAACTCTGATCACCGTCTTCCCATTCTCTCTAGTTAATGTGGCGATTTCCACTAGAAACAAACACAATCATGTTAGAGGCAGGTGGACTCAGCAAACTCCAAGTGCCAGGGCTTTTTCTCCTACGTGCTCAGCTTTACTTCACCACTTTCCCACGTTTTATGCTTAATTACTGTTCACAGATAAATTTATGGGAACACAGTAACTTTGCTCTCATATTGTTTTGAATACCATTTTTGCCTACATATCTTCCTTCTCCCGATCACAAATTTCTCAGCATCTACCTGCCTTCACTTGGACAAGTGCAGTCAGCACAGTTCATGCTGGCCTGCTGTTAGCTGTACCGATCAGAGGACCCATACTGTCCTTGCTGGACACCCTGGGCACTGAGCCAGTCAGGATGGTTCTTTTAGGGACTTTTCAAAATAATGGCATAAAAAGCAGCTTCCATGGCATGGCTATGGGTAAGAAAGGCAGACTGACTGATACACAAAAGAGAAGGATTTTCTGAGTAGGGCTTCCTTGAAATTAGGTAGAATACAACATTAGGAGGCAATTTGTAAGTAAATGGCATTTTCCAAAAAACACTAACAGTAAAGTTATCCTACACCAAACTAATATGTTAATTAACATTTTGAAAAATTTTATTTATTTATTTTTGGGGTTTTTTTTTGAGACAGGGTCTCACTATGTAGTTGAGACTGACCTGGAACTCACTATGTAGCCCAGGCTGGTCTCAAACTCACAGCGATCCTCCTGACTCAGCCTCCCAAGTGCTGGGATTACAGGCGTGCGCACCACGCCCGGCATGAAAAACATTATTTAGAAGTATTATTTTATACGGTCATACAATTTAAATTGAATTAAGTATCTGAAATTCCTAACATGAGTTTAAAGAGATTAATAGATCAAGAAAAACAGGACAGGGTACAATCATACAAAAGTTCTGACCCAGACAAAACATATCAAATCTAAGTATCGATACATAACCATACACATACTTTGTCACAGACAGAAGCATCAATACTACTAATGCGAGGTCTTGCTGTTACTTAAAGGAGCATACCAGATTTCGGAGTGCTGAGAACATTCAAGGTGAGGTCCACGAAGTGTGGGACTGAGACCCCACAATTTAGTGGTGCTGGTCTGGTCAAGTCACTTAACCTCATGAAACCCGACTATCCCCATTTAGGACACGGTACAAAGCCACCTAATTATGAGGCTACTGTGCCCATGAACTAGGACAACATATTCAAGACCCAACATGACAGCTGCACAATCAGATGACAAAGGGCGGGACAAGAGTCACCTTTCTCAGCAGACAGCTTACTAACATCCATTGTCTTGTTCAGCACTTTGATAGCTAAAGCAAGCGCCGACTTCAGAGTCATTTCTCCTTCTTTGTAGTCCTGTTTCAGCATTGACACAGCTGCCTACAAAACAAAGAATGAACAAGTCTTTGCATTTATGAATATGGATTAGCCTAGAAGAGTGGTCATGAACCTGCAGCATGCATGCTACAGCTGGCTGCTACCACTGGTTTAGAAGAACAAATCCTGGAGCTTTACTGGCATTACATCCAGTATGAAGTTTGATGGCAAAGAGGTTGGACACTAGGTGGGGTAAGAAGAGGGACACTGCTGCTCTACAAAGGGAGTCCCTAATCTAGGTCCTCAGGTCCTGAAGTATTCAGCTGAGAATTCAGGTCTGTCAGCTAAAACATCAAAACAAACATTGTATCCTTATTTTCACAATTTCTAAATGAAAATTAGTATTTAATTACAAATGCAGACAACTCTGTCAGCAAAAGAAATCATAGATATTTTCCTACCACACGAAGGATGCACCAGCTGTCTTAGGATACTGCTTACATTCATCATTACTTCAACTTTGTGGGCTTTATCAGACCTTTGAGAGCATTTACAGCACCAGGGAATACTCACAGCACTGTTATTTCCAATGCACGTGGCTTTCCAGCCCCCATAATTTCCACTGGGGTCACTCTGATAGAGCTGAAAGCCATAGTGCTTTTCCCAGCCAATGTACAGCAATGAAACACCAAAGGGACGCTTTCCTTTAATGAAGGAAAAGAAGGCAAACATCAACAACCTTGATTTGGTATCCTGATTATCCTTGATTTCCCCTGCCCTGGGAAGTTAGGCATTCATAAACTGCTTTGTGGTCTGGCCGCTACAGATAAGCTCTATCAACAGAAGCACTTCTGCTTCTAGGATTTGGATGCAGCTAGGAAAGGAAATGAGGACACAGAGGACCAGGGCTGAATTTCATTATTATGTAAAGAGAATTTGTTTCCAGATTTGAAAATGTCACTGCCTTTCAATATCCTATTACTACAGCATATGATAATCTACCAAGTAGAACCAGGTTCCATCATGAAGCAGGTATTATAAAGTGTTGATTTTCATTTTTTTTATTGTCTTAAAAAGGTTTCTATTTATAAGACTTTTTTTTTTGGTACTGGGGATTGAACTCGGGTCCTTGTGCTTGCGGGTCTGGCGGCAGAACCACTGCGCTAAATCCCCGGCTCATAAAACATTTAAAATTTTTGGAATAAAATTTCCAAAAACTCAGTACCTCCAAACTGTGTATAGGCCTGTTTGATATCACACAGTGCTGTAACCAACTGCTCACACGGGATTGGCTCCTGGTATTGTAATAGATACCTAGAATAAAGAGATTGGCATGGTAAATTGTCTTTAAAACACACAGACTCTAAGGAAAATGTCCTCTGAAAGAAATCCATGCCATGAAGCCAACATAATTATCAATGTATTTGAAGAGGAAGGAGAAGGAAATGTTGACATCCTACTACTGTTGCTGTAGCACTTTATATTTTTAACTAAAAAACTTAAAATAGTCAATGAATAGACTTTAAACTTTGCAAAAGTAAGCTCTCCTTAGAAACTGCTAATTTTTGTATCATCAGAAATTAGAAATTGCTATTTATGTTCCTACCTTTGTGCAATGAGCCTCAGTTCATTAGTCAGAACATTTGCATCAGAAGTTATACCTGCCACGCTGCAAGCCATGTCCCTTGAAGAGAAGATAGACACTGATCAGTAAGATGACTCTGTGAGCGTTATCAGGGTTAAGTACATTTCGGACTGGGGATTTAGCACAGTGGCATTGCACCTGCCTCGCAAGTGCAAGGGCCTGAGTTTGATCCCTGGTACAGGGGCAGGTGAGGGGATTACCAAGATCTATTCGGAACTCACCAGACTCCATGGTAGTTTTACCTTTGTAAGAGATTTTTACTTGATCTCATTCAACACAAATGACAAACAAATGCAATCTAAATCTTTTAACAGCTGCAAGTATCACTGCCATCCTTGAATAGGCCAAGAGAACGAACACTAGGACACCAAAGTAAATTCCCTAAAAAATAAACAGGCTTTGCTGGATAGACAGATTACCCCTACACTCTAGAGTAGCATAGTGGACCCCTGACTAACAAACTCAATTCGTTCCTGAGGCCTGGATGTAACTCAGGTTGGTCAACTGAAGACTCAGGCTCCTACAAAGCCTTCAAAGTCTCTCTTCTGTATACAGCAGATCTCAGTGTCCTCAGAAAGACACTGGTCTGGGACTTCTCAACCCCACACAGGAAAAGATGTTGTAATGTTCCTTCTAGAACTCTGTAAGGGTTAAATCTGCATCTGAAGCATATCTGGTCAGCATTTGGATCATAACTCAAGACCTTGGTCCTAATTTAAAACTAAAATTCCAGTCATAACCAAAGTTGTTTGTACATCAGTCAGGTTGTAACTTGGGGTACAGTGTACTCCTGCCTTATAAAGCTGGCTCACGGAGATGAGGGTGAGGGACAGCAAGAGCAGGGGAACTCACAAAATGCCTAGCAAGACCAAGACCAACCTCTCATGAGGGCTGCTTTTCCTTTTCTTTGTCCATACCCTGAGCCTTGCCTGGCTCTACTATAGCCTAGACACCCAAGATCTCTATGCCTACCCAAGCCTGCATCTGCAAAGCAGGCTCAAAAGTGGTTATGTAGGGGACGACACTACCTCACCTGAGTGATTCAGGCATAGTGACCAGCAGTCACCAGGCCCAACCCTGAAGGAAAGTCTTTAACTAGCACAGCTGGCTCTTTAATCACTACAGTGTTCTGCATACTCAGAATGAACAGAAATCTCATAGGTTATACCTAAAATGTCCCCAGATCTCTAGGAGGCCTGTTCTTTGGTAAATAGTATATTCAACAAAAGCCCTGAATAGTTACTACTCTAATATTTTTAAGGCTGCTACATGTCAGAGATTGTGCTAGTTTACTGCACATTTTTTTTAAATTAAACTTTAACAATCACTCTAAGAGGCCCTAAGACCCTAAGAAGTTAAATAACTGGTGCAAGGCTATACAGTTTATATGAGTGGGGCCTGGATTTGAACCCAGATCTGTGTTACTACTTAGTCTATATGTCCACAATATAATGCTGTTTCTCCACTATTTTAGCTCTGCACTTCAGAGGTATAACATACACCAAAAAATGAATTAAATTAAATTAAAAAAATAAATAAGGTAGTTAGACACAGTAAGGGCTGGGGATGTAGCTCAGTGGTTGAATCTTGTCTAGCATGTGTGAAGGAAGCTCTGGGTTCCATTCCCAGGCCGTTGTCCCCCACCCAACAAAAATAGCTAAACATAATAAATGTTTCCAAAAGTAAAAAGGGGTAACAGGTGGTTCTGGGCTTCAAGGAGGTTTCAAGCAGAGAAAAAGGACATTTTCAGAAACTGTTCAAATCTACCAAATCACAAAAAGTGTCCCCACCAAGGCAGATTCCATTTATGTGAGAAAGTGAAATACATAAAACGCTTCCTAAGGTAATACTCACTCATTGAGTTTATAAATTTTTTCAGAGAAAAAGACTTCATCAAGAAGTTTGTGAATGTTGCGTCTCTCTGCTGCAAGCAAAACACCATCGTTTGCTAAAATTCCCAAACAGGTCCCTGCATGTCCAATGGCTTCCATGGCATATTCAACTTGGTATAAGCGACCTACGAAACATAAGCAGTGAGAAGCTAGGACTCTCCTTGGTGCTCCCATACCACTGGTCCAAGAGGAATCCACAAAGACACTAACAGGCTGCAAATAACAGGGCCACTCTGAGCCTTCTATGAGGCATATCATCAACTTAGTAAGCAATTACTTCTAAGTACAAAAAGAATGAACTCAGCAACTGCAGAAACATTTGTTGATTTTTTTTTTCTTTTAACCACTTACCAGGACAATAACTTAAAATACAAAATGACTAAAAATTGCATTTTTCTCCTCCTAATTTTTTTTTTTTTTTTGAGACAGGGTCTCACTTTGTAGCTCAGACTAGTCTCGAGCTCACAGCGATTCTCCTGCCTCGTCCTCCCAAGTGCTGGGATTACAGACATGCACCACCACACCCAGCTTCCTGCTAATTTTTATAAAAGGAAATATAAAATGACAATTTTATCAAATTTATTCAATATTTTTTCTGTGTACGGTGTATCTTAAAACATTCAACACCTGCCTGAGGCTCAAGAGAGTCAGTACCAAAATAATGCCAAATGACACTCAGGGTAAACTGTTAAGCGATTAAAGCCTAACATACACATAAAATCTTTGAGGCAGATTGAACAATTTATATTTTACCTTCTGGAGAAAATATAGTGGTCCTGGAGTCATATCTCCGAGACTGCAAAGGAAAAACATACAAGTGACTCCTGCCCGCTGAGAATTAGCCATTTCCCACAAGCCCACAAATCACAAGACAGATGGCGCACAAAGTTCAATGTGTGGGAGCTGATAAGGCAGATGGCACTGCACCACCATTCAGTTCCATTCAGTTTTCTCCTTCCATTCAGTTTTCTCATGCAAAACTGCAGGCTGAGTGCAAGCAATACTATTCCTCAGTCAAGTTTACTAGCTTGTTATTAACTCACCATGGTTTCTGAACTTTAGAAAATTCCTGTAAAAAGAAAACAAGATCATCATTAAAATAAAATTCATAATTTAAGATGCATTTCCTGACTTTAAAAATCTGTTGCATTGGTCTGGGGATTTAGCTCAGTGCTGCCGCCACCTGCCTCGCAAGTGCAAGTTCCCGAGTTCCATACCCAGTATAAAAAATCTGTTTTATTCATTTCATTTAGTTAACATTTACTACGTACCCTCTAAGTGCCTGGTACTTACCTAGATGTTGGAATGTCATGATACATTTAATCCCTGTCTTGAGAGCTTGTAATTTGGCAGGCAGGTGTGAGAAGCATAGGTTATAAAGTAATGTGGAAAGAGGCAACGAAGGTGGGGTGGGAAGAGAGAGAAAATCAGGAAAGTTTTTTTGTTTTTTTTTTTTTTTGGAAAAAAGGATACAGACAATGAATTAATGAGAGATTGGTAAGGCACAAACAAGTTAAAAACCCTCAGGTCTGGAAGGATAGAGGAGGGGAGAGAAGGGCACCGCGGGCAGAGGATAAAGCATGAGCAAATAATACCATGAGGGGTGTCCCTAAACTTGAGGGTGGAGACAGTAATCCTGGGCATCATTTCCATTTCACAGACGATTCAGTGCGATTTAGTAGAAAAAAACCAAACCTGAGTCCAAAGCCCGTATTTCCAAGTACTTAAGAGAAGGGAATCAAGACTGGAAATGTAAGCAGGGGTCTTATAGTCAGGTGGGCTCCACCAAGACTCTGAGCCCAAGGGCCAGAGACTGAGCCGGGGCAGCCGGTCGGAGCTCAGCTCCCGCAGGCAGGTGCGTGTGTGTGTAGGGGGTTCCTGGACAGCGCAGCCGAAAGGCACAGAGAGGAGGCGGGGCAGGGGTCTGACCTGCGTGTAAAAACTACAAGCCGCATCTCCACGCGTAACGCCGGCATAGCACGAGTTTGAGCATCTGGCACATGCGGCGGGCTCACATTCGGGTCTTGGACACCAGGGTGGAAGGCTCCCCGACCACTCGGCTCTGTCCCGAGGCCTCGGTCCTGGCCATCGTCCCACCCCGGGGCCCGGCCAAAACCTGGCTGCCACAGGCCCCAGGAGAGGAACAACGGCATCCGGCAGGGGCCAGTCCGCGGAGGCGGCTGCACAGTCATCGTCCCACAGCTACTCGGCCGCAGCTGCAGGCCAACCGGCTACCTCGATATTCACATCCCCCGCCCAAGGGATAGCGCCCACGCTTCTGCGAGCCCTCGGGGTGGACAAGGCTCACCTGAGAGAAAACAATGAAGAATCGACAGTTTCAACAACCGCTTTACTGGGCAAGTAGAGAGAACCAACGCCGTTGCCAGAGGACCGCTTCGCATATGGCTACCGCGCATGCGCAGAGCCAGGGGGCGGGACGCCGAGGACCCGGAAGTCCCCTGAAAGCCAGACGGAAACGGCAAGGAAGGCGTCCTGCGCCGCAAGGCCTTCAGGGTAGATCGCGCAGTATAGGCCGGGTTCCTGACGGTGCTGTGTCGCTGACGCGTGGAAGTCCTGCCCAAGGGAGTCAGCAATTTCTGCCTGTGCCCTTCGCTCTTTCACTTTCACTTCACCACGGGGCGTAGACCTAGGTAGGACAGTAGTGTGGATGGAGCGAAGTCGTCTGCACTTGCAGCCCTGATACTCATAGTGGTCCCAGCCACGGCAGACTAAAGTTTCTCCTCAGCGTCTGCCTTCTCAGATGTGGCTTCCACTTTTATGGCTGATATATATCTATTTTATTATTATTATTTTTGAGACAGGATCTTGCTATGCAGTGTAAGCTGGCCCTGAACTATGTAGCCCAGGCTGGCTTCGAACTCACGGCCTCATCCGCCTGAGTGCTGAGATTATAGCCCTGTGCCATCATGCCCGGCTGATTTACATCTTTTTAAATGTCTAAAACAAATCATGAGTTGGCACGTTTGGAAGAACTTCCACTTTGGTCCCCTTTGCTTCAGAAAGGATTTACCCCATCACCCTAGTTAAAGCAATAACCTACATTACTATACACACAGCATTTTATCTTTGTTATGCTGTTCCTGTATCATCTCTCCAACCTTTTTTATCCAACTGTGTGAAGTACTATTTGTTTAGGTTTTTTTGGGGGGGGGTGCTAGAGGGCTAACTAGATCCGGGTTAATATGTAGTTATTCAGAGCATTGGGCAAGGAATTTGTCTTCTCATAGGGTGCAAAGTTTTGGGATCTGGACTTTGAAAAGGAAGTAGCTTAAGAATGAGTTGCATTTTGAAATCTGTCGTCTTTGCTTCCCAAGTAGATCGGTGACCTGGCAAAAGGCCAAACACAGGCAGTTCTGAAGCACCTTTGGGTGACCTAATTTACACTTCCTCTGAAAGCCTCTGCCTTCCCAGCTTATTTTATTCTTTAGAAGTCAGCAAACATTGAGTTTTCAGTGAGAGATAGGGTTTCTTAAGTCAAAGAAAAGGCATCAATTGAGATACAAGGGCAGAAAAATGAGTTTGACAAGTTTAGGTGATAGACTAGTTCAGGCTGGCCTGAATGGAAGAGTGGGAGAGATAATACAGGACGTAGTAAAGGAGGACAAACATTTGAGGCTAAACTGTAGAATGCTTTTGATTCCACACTTTCTTCCTATTAGAAATGGGAAGGCAGGAATAAAGTGACCTGTTAGCTTGATGAGGCCTTAAGATCATTCCCACCCAGAGGTTCTGTATCACCTTGCCCTGAAGTTGGGTGCACCTGAGGTGATAATGTGATTTCTGAGCATAGGCCATAAAAAGTAATATAGTTTTGTCATGTCCTCTTGGGATGACCTTCATTTTTGTGAGGACGCATAGACCATGTAGAGAGATGTTTGGCCATGGCTCAGATATGGTTCTAGCATCCCCGGCCATATAGGTGAGTGCATATTCCTCCAGATGATTCTGGTCTTTGGGACCAATTTTGCAGACATTACCTCTTCTAGCCTTCAAGTCTTCCCAGCTGAGGCCTGGGGTATTGTGGAGCAGATACAAGCTGTTCTCATACCTGGGTTAATGACCTACAGAAACCATTAGATACTAACATTACCAAGTGTTTTACATTACCAAGTGTTTAGCTGAACTGTCACAAAGCAATACATGTAAGCAGAATTTTTATTGCCTTTAATATGAAGGATGTCAGCTGAGGAAACTAAGGATAAGAAGACCAGAAAGTAAAGCTTCGTTGTCATCTAAAGAAGATAAATATCTGGAAAGAAAAAGACAATAGCAAATGTCTTTGACAGACATTTGGCATTGATTCCTAAATCTAAAATGTTCTCTTTGTTGATGGAAAAGACCAGAACCTGAGGTATGTTCATTCTTGCAGTTTATTAAATAGATATTCATGAAGGGTATGCTAGGAGTCTGCCATGACACTTGGTTCTGAAGGCAATATGATATTCAATTTATGTCACCACCGTATTAAGGTTTCCAAAGAATCAAAAATGAGGACAGACAGATAAAGTGAATTTATTATAGGAATTTATAGGGGGATTTGCTATGTGATTACAGAGGCGAACGAGGACAGATAAAGTGAATTTATTATAGGAATTTATAGGGGGATTTGCTATGTGATTACAGAGGCGAAGAAGAAGAGCCACAATATGCCACGTGCAAGCTGGAGAACCAGGGAAACCACTGGTATAGTTCAGTATGAGTCCAATGATCTGAGAACCAGGGGAGCTGGTGATGTAACTCAGCTTGAGCCAAAGGCTTGAGGAGCTGGGGGGCCACTAGGGCAAAAGCCTGGAGTCCAAAAGGGAAGAACCTGGAGTTCTGATGTCCAAGAGCACAAAAAGGTGGATATCGCAACTCCAGGAGAAAGACTGGATCATCCTTCCATGGACTGGATGGTACTTATTCCCATCTGTGGGGGTGGTGGGTCCCTGGATTCAGAAACCTCACAGACACACCCTAAAGTAATGCTTTATCAACTGTCAGGGTAGCCCTTCACCTAGTCAAGTAGACACCGAAAATTAGCTATGATAGCCCTGAAAGAATTTATCAAACTGGAACTGATGATTAGAGATCTGTTAGAACAAACCTGAAACAGTAAAATATCAATTCAATGTAGCATGTATTTAAATACTGAAATAGAGCCAGAGGCAGGAAGATCATAAGGTCAAACCCACCCTTAGGAACCTGTTTCAATTTAGGAAGAACCTGTTTCAAAATAAAAGAAGAATAAAGGGCTGAGGATACAGCTCAGGGCAAAGGTCCTGGGTTCAATCCCCAGTATCACCAAAAAGGAAGGAAGTAATGAAGGATGGATCAATCTTAAAGTAGTGATCAGCAATATCTGTATCAGGGATTCAATGAAAGGAATCCATGTTAGCATGAGTAATTGTCTTAGTTACTTTCCTGTACTGGGACAAAATACCCAACATCCACAACTTAAAGGAAGAGATATTTATTTTGCCTCACAGTTTCAGTATATGGTTGGCTGGCATCAAGACAGAAATGCCATGGTGGAAGGAAAGCTGTTAAACCTGCTGGAGGAAAGCTGTTAAATCCCTGGCATCCAGGAAGGAAAGAGAGCCAGGGATAAGAAGGTACACTAGTCCCTGTCCCAGTGACCACCTCTAACCAGGCTCCACCTGATGACAGCACAGTCTGCTACTGAACTAATCAGTGAATCCACAGGTTCATGTAGCACCCCCATGATCCAGTCACCTTCCACACACAAGGCTTTGGGGAACAATTTAGATCTAAACCATAACAGCAATCAAAAGGGAAATCAGTGGTTCATTACAAAGAATGAACAGTGATTCGAGAGTGAAATCCAAACTTCAGTCTATTTTCCTGGTCTAATTTTCTTAATGGTCAAGTTAGATAAAAACCATGAGCCCTTAAATTTGAGAAGTTTGAGTTATCTGTGTGAATGATCTCACTAGTTCCCCTGATGTGTGTGTAGGGAGGACAGAAGCAAGGGGAGGCAGAGGAAGTCAGTCAAATAAGACTTGGCAGTGGTTAGGAGCATGGGATGCATTGATTGAAAGATCTGATTGCATCCCTGGCTCTGAGTAAATCAGTGATTTTAACTGGAGGTCTTCATGTGCTTCCTTGCAGCTCCCCTGTCTCCCGGCAGAGCTAAACTTTTTCCTCATATGATTACATTTATGTTTCCTCCAAAGGCATCACAGCAGTACCAAGCATCTACCTTGGGAGTTCCAGTTTCAATGACCCCCTTAAAGAGCTAAACTTTTTCCTCATATGATTACATTTATGTTTCCTCCAAAGGCATCACAGCAGTACCTTCTCCAGCCTTTCTCTTGCATTCATTTTGCAAATAAATACATTTAAAGACCTTTCTCTGGGAAAGATACTACTACAGGTGTGAGAAGAAGGGATGAGGAGACAGAAGTAAAGTTCTTCATGGTCTCTGCTATGATCACATAGCTCTTGGCCTAGATGACTGCACAAGCATAATCCAGTACACAAAGCCATGGCCATGAAAAAGAAAGAATGCAATGAGAGTCTAGAAAGGAGAGAGTAATTTCATAGAATTGGTGATATGTTAGCCAGATTTACATTTATGTCAAATGATTTATAATATGTGAATCTATATAGATGCATGTGTATATTCCTTTCAAAGTTTAAAAAAGTTATTGATCAAAGGGCCGGAAGAGACATCAAAAGATGATCTGATTCAGAATCTGGTATCATTATGTGAGTTTCATACCCAAGGAATATAGCTACATAGAGAACTAAATTCTTAAATTCAAAAGTGGTTCTGAGGCTGGGTGTGGTGGCACACGCCTGTAGTCCTAGCACTCAGGAGGCTGAGTCAGGAGGATTGAAGTGAGTTCAAGGCCAGTTTGGGCTACATAGTGAGTTCAAGGCCAGCCTGAATTATAGAGCAAGACCCTGTCTCAAAACACAAAACAAAAAAAGTCCTGAGATCTGTTGAAGACCTTAGAGAAAGAAGTGATGGTGAACCTTTTAGATATCAAGGGCCCAAACTGTAACCCAAGACCCACTTATATATCACAAAGTGCCAATGCTGCAATTAAACCTGAACACTGAAGTTTTAGATTAGAAAAAACAACTCATACATTAACATATTTTGTCATAAAAGAACAACACAATATGCACACCATAGGTTTGCTATCACTGCTTTAGAAGTTTCATGTGCTCTGCCACATTCAGAACTGATCTGTTCCTTTCATTCCTTTTTCTCTGTGCAGGAACTTCCCTCACAAACTTTTGATTCGGCCCCACAGCATTTGTAATGACTCCAGTGAATGTGAACTCTTACCCAGTCACATGGCGCTCCCAGCCTCATAGGACCTGGCAGTTTCAAACCAGATTTCCTCAACTGCTTTCTGACCCAGGTCAAGCATCTGCTGTAAGTGTTTCCACCCAGTTTTTGCAGTAATCATGAGATACTCTCTGTTCTCTGGGTAGAGCTGGCAAGAGTAGGCAGCCATGACAAGTGACTGACAGAAACGACCACACACGAGAGGGAACAAAGCACCTCTCTCTATGGCGGTCAGTGGGTCGACACTTTCGAACCCGGCCAGGACATGGCCTCCGACTTGTAGGGGGTTTTTGCTTTCAATCATCATGTACATGATGGTGATCGCCACTTCAAAAACATAGCAGCCATGGCTCATGTCACCAAAGTCTAAAACTCCAGACACTTGGAGCACAGTATCTCCAGAGGCTGACTCGCTGGGCTGAACTAAAATGTTATAGTCGTTAAGATCGCCATGATTGATGCCTGAAAGCAGAAAAACCACGGAAATAGTTACTTAACATCCCAGTTAATTATCTCTCCATTTCTCTTTCTTAGGCAAGGCTGTTCACAGAGTTTGACAAGCAGTCAGAGATAAAGGGCCAAATATAATGCTGATTTCTCCCATGTGCTATAGGATGGTGCAAACCATGCTCAAGTAATGCTGCACAATGAGCCGCACAGCCATGAACATTGCTGAAACTCGCAAAATTTAAACTACACATTTCAGAAACTGGGATGGAGCCCAGTTGATTCAAACTACAGAAAGCAAAGTCTGACAGAAATACAATGGACAATATATAATCAAAGTGGTTTGTTAATTCATTTATTTAGCAGTGCTGGGGATAGAACACATGGCCTTGCCAATCCATGATGGACAAGCAGCTTGAGTTAGAATGAAATCTTTTTTATTGTGGCTCACAATAATTTGACAGTTGTTACTGCCCGTAACCTAGCCTAGCTGATATGCACAGTGTTATATGGGTACAGACAAAGACAAAAAACAAAAACAAAAAAAAACAGGAGAAAACAGGACAGAAATGTTGATTCACCACAGAGGTGATACTGCAAAACAGAGAGGAAGCTGGGCATGGTGGTGCATGCCTGTAATCCCACCACTCTGAGTGGGAGGCTGAGTCAGGGAGATCACAAGTTCAAGACCAACATGGACAATTTAGTGAGATCTTGTCTCCAAATAAAAAATAAAAAAGAAAGGGTTGAAGATGTAGTTCCATGTAAAGGCCCTGGTTTCAATCTCTAGTACCACAACAAACAAAGAGGAAAAAAAGGTGATCTTTTCAATAAATGGTGATGGGAAAATGTATGAGCCATAAGAAAAATTCATGCAATACACTGTATATAAAAATAAATTCCAGAGCTAATGTGAAAAGCAAAAACTATAAAATTTTAAGAAGATAATATAGAAGAATAGCTTCCTGACCATAATGTAGGGAAAATTTTCTACCCAATGCACTTTATTAACCATGAAGTAAAAGATGAATATACTTGAAACCAATATAATTAAGGCCTTTTCATCAAAACACAACAGAGTAAAAAGACAAGCCAGATAATGAGAAAAATATTTGCAACACATATAATGAACAAAGGGCTCATCTAGAATATTTTTAGAGGTTTTACCAGTCAGAAAAAAATTCCAATAGAAAAACAGGATGAGATGTGGGCTGGAGCTCATATCTATGCTCCCCCTATGGTGCTGGAGAGGGGACCAGGGTCAGGTTGTGAGGCACCTAAGCACACTGAGAAGCTCTTGGACGCCCTCTTGCAGACTCTGTACTACGTGGAAGAGAAAGAAGATGAAACAGAACAAAAGAGAATCAGAAAGAAGAGAGACAATAGGAAGAGAGATGGGGTTGCATAGCTGTGGCAGCAAAGAGAACCCTGCCTGGTTCTCTCACAAGAGGCCAGAAGAAGAGCGCTTCCCGCTTTTTCAGGGAGCTCAGAGAGGAGCTGAACTGTGCTCCTGTGTTCACCTCCCACAGTCCCCCTTCAGGAGCAGAAGTCTCCACTGCTACAGGATCACCCTCTCCCCTGCAGAACAACAGGGAGCAAGTGGAAGTAGTACAATTTTACAGCAGAAATAAAAAGAGAAAACTGAAGCCAGATCAAGATGAGTGCGCAAAGACAAAAACTAGTATCCAAGAGAAAGACACAAGTGTTCAAGAATTTAACCTAGAAAAGGCTCGGTTGGAAGGACACCGGTTTGGGATCACAGGCTGCGGGGAAAGGAAAAGAAAGAGTCCTGGAACGGGAACGAGCCATCATGCTGGGTGCTAAGCCTCCCAAAAACAATTTACATGAACTGCAAGGTTTTGCAGGAGCAAATCAAAGAAAATAAGGCAGCAAAGGAAGAAGAGAAGAGAGTGGCCCAGGATGCAGATATTTTCAAGAAAAAGAAGAGGAGAGGACAAGAAGATAGGAAACCCAAAAAGAAGTTGCAAGCACTGCCAAATGAGAAACACAAAATTGCATAGTGCCAGCACAAAATCTAGAGTAATTTCCAGACTTACAGAAGGTAGAGTTCACTAGGAAATATATTTTGGCACTTTATAAGAGTAGTGTTTTCATGTGTAAATACTGAATTGTTTCTCTGGTGTGAAAAACTATAATAGCACATAAGATCCTACTGAGATAACTGACAATGTGAAATAGGAAAAAAGGGGCTAAAGGTGCAGGGAAAGTGGGAAGGGTAGGGGAAAGTTAATAAGGGAAAAGAAAAAAATAGGAGAAAATGGAAATAAAGTGTTTGTAAACGGGGAGGGGAGGAGGGGGTGAAGGGAGGGCAGGGACAAGGAGAAAAAATGGGAACCAAGACCTGTCATGTAAAGGTACAAGACCCCAATAATGAATGTAACTGTACTGTATGCCTAAAATGTACCAATAAACTCAATTAAAAAAAAAAAGAAAAACAGGCAAAAAAAAAAAAAATCAAACAGGCATTTCATATGGTATATTCACATGGCAAAAAAATAGGGAAATGTACTTAAAACCACAATGAGCTGTTACACACAAATCATATTGGCAAAAATTATAAATCTGAAAATATTTATGAGAAAAGGAAGTAATGGAAACAAAAGCCTTTGTAAATAGGGAAGAGTGGAGAGAGTGAAGAGAGGACAGGGAAATGGGGAGAAAATAAGAACCAAGATACCAGCTTGAGTAAGGTGCAAGATCCCAGTGATGAATGTAACTGTGCTATATACCTAAAAAGTACTAGTAAACTCAATGAAAAAAAAATCTGACAATATCAAGGGAGGCATGCCCATCCTGAGGCCTGTTTTTACTTTTTTGGAAGAGTGGAGAGAGTGAAGAGAGGACAGGGAAATGGGGAGAAAATAAGAACCAAGATACCAGCTTGAGTAAGGTGCAAGATCCCAGTGATGAATGTAACTGTGCTATATACCTAAAAAGTACTAGTAAACTCAATGAAAAAAAAATCTGACAATATCAAGGGAGGCATGCCCATCCTGAGGCCTGTTTTTACTTTTTTGCCCTTTTTAAAAATTAAAATTTTAAAAATTCAAAGGATGTTTAAATATATATATATATATATATATAGAGAGAGAGAGAGAGAGAATCATATTACAGCACATCACAGTATGTATTTTATTTGTGGCCCAAGACAATTCCTCTTCACTCAAAAAAAATAAAAGAAAAAAGAAAGCATTTCGCAGGTTGGACAGCCCTGGTCACCTGGTAGTGGCAATGAGAATGAGAGCTTTATTTACTTTTGAAAGCTGTCTGACACTGTTATCCAGTCAAGTTGACACAGTCATGTTCTATGACCCAGCAATCCTACCCCTACATATCTATCTACCCAAAGGTAAACACGTAGATGAACATGTAGGCCGGAACTCAGAAATGCTCACAGCACCACTGTGCTTAGTAGCCAAAAGTGAAAAATATTCCAAGTATCTTTTTTTTTTTTTTTAAGGTACTGGGGATCGAACTCAGGTCCTTGTGCTTGCAAGGGCAGCACCGGAACCACTGAGCTAAATCCCCAGCCCCCCAAGTATCTTTTAAGATAATGTGTAGACTCATGTTTATAACAGCACAATTCATAACAGCTGAATCTTGGAAGTCGCTCATATGTTCATTGAAAGATGGATACAGAAAATGTGGCATTTACACACAATTACTACTCTGCTATAAAGAAGGATAAGCTTGAGTTATTTGCTGGAAAATGGATGTACCTTGAGACCATAATGCTAAATGAAATAAAGTGGACACACAAGCTTAAATATCATATAGGTTTTTTTATACCCAAAGTATAAATAAAGAGCAAAATAAAAGATGTAAAATAGGAAACAAGGAGATAGATTTTTTTTTTTTTTTTTTTTAAAAGAGAAGGAGGGAGGTGGGAGGTAAGGGAGAGGAAGAGATGTAAAAAGAATTAAAATGTATTATATACATGCACCAACTCTTCACAGTGAATGTGATCGTATGTACTGCAAAAATGGACTCATAAAAAATTTAAAAAGAATAATGTACATCATATTTATGAATAAGATATTCTATAGTAATAAAAGTTAAACTATAGCTACATACAACTTGGATAATCTCACAAATGTAACACTGGGAGAGAGGGAGAGAGACAGGGAGGGAATGCGGGAGGGAGAGCACCCCATATGAACACACACTCAGGAGGAGGCTCCCACAATCCTAGCCCAGAGGTGACAGTGGTGTGGGCTGAGGGTCTGTGCAAAGGCAGGAAGAGCAGGTAGAAAAGGGTAGATTCCAAGGCGAAATGAATTGGTGCTGGTAAGACGTCGTGTGTGAGAGAAAACCAAGCTGAGCTGATGGCCTCTATGTTTTTCACCAGATCAATGAGATGAATAGTGGGTACCTATTTTAATGAGATAAAGACTGCAGGAAAAACATTTTTCAGGGGAAAAAAAAACCCTCAGTTTTTCTGCTACATCCTTACTTGTGTTTACACAAAATAAGCAAATAGCAGAACAGGCTCATCCTGCCCACCCTGGCCTCGCGAGGATGCCATTGGTGCCTTGGCCCTGACCAGCACTGATTGCTGTCACCTCCAGTCTCTTCTGGGAATGCTGTCTGCTCCCAGGAGCCAGTCCCGGGTGGGTGCTGAAGCGCACTAATGTGGCAGAAAAAAGTGGGAAGCAACCTAAAATTCCATTAACTAGAAAGGACAAAAAGGCATAATTCATGCAAATACATTAAGGCATATACTCATAATACTGAGGGGTACTATTCACAATTAAGGCTAATAAGCTAAATAGACTAGAACTACATATATTAATGTGGTTAAACCTGGAAAAACATATTGAATAAAAAAGCAGGTTACAGAATGAATGTTAATACACAATGTGCAAAATATATATATATATATATATATACACTGTGCTATCATTTATAAAGTCTGAAAAATATAAAACACTATGGAAATCATTTGTAAGTCATACATAGATAGCAACAAATTCAACAGAGAGGAGAGAGGTTGAATCACCCAAATTTTAAAGGAGCTTCAAACGCAGTGATTTTTGTTGTTATTTTGTTTTGCTTTTTGAGATGGTGTCTCACTATGTAGCCCAGATTGGCCTCAAACTCCTACCTTAGCCTCCCAACTGCTGGGGTTACAGGCCTGCATCACCATACCCATCTTCTTCAAATGTAGCAATTGTGAGAAAAGTAAAAATCTTATTTGTTACAAAGGAATAGGAGTACATATGACAGTTTTAAGATCTGAGAAAGCTAAGTTGTCCCTCCATACTTTCTGATGGTATGACGTTTGACAATTTAAATATCAAGAAAAATATGTGTTTTGACTGGGGTGGGGGTTACTCACATTCTCGAAACTCACTAAGCTTGGTTACCACTTCCTTCTTGAACAGCTGAATGACCTGTTCGGCAATCTCGCGGTTTTGGTTCTGGCCCAAAGCATCCAGGTATTTCTCCAGAAGGGGAATGTTTTTCAGATTCCAGATGAAGTCGTCTCGATGAAGGCTCAATAACTTCGGGTGATGGAAGGTCTAAACCAAAAGCAAGCGACAGCCTCAGAGCAACTAGCCTGGGACAAGTGCATAGCTTGTGGCCTTAGGAAAAGCTAAGATCAGATTGTTCTTTATTCTTTATCATTTTTTCACCCTACAGTGTACCCTAAATCAGGAAGTCAGGCATCCCCCAATAGGAGATAATCAATATGAAGTCTCTTTGGGTGCAGAGAATTAGAAATCTCCAAAGTCTCATTCACATCCCCCCAACTATACTACGTAAAGAAAGCTGCCTGGCCAACACACAGCATCATGGGAAATAAATTGTTACTGTCTCAAGTCTATGAGTCACTAGCACCCTGAATATTTGCAACAACCTGCCTCATCTCTTCCCTAAGTTCTGCTAGGGTTGATACCTTCCTCCTCTCTCTAAAGCTCCAGTCAAATGGAAAAGAAACTGGACAGATCAGGATGGAGGCAGGCGGTCAGACTGCAGAAGGTGCCAGCAAGGGGTTGAGGAGGAGCAGAGCTGCTTCTCTGTGAGACATGGGACTCAGCTTCCACAGACCTCAGCCTCTTTCACACCCTCTCTCTGGGCTCCCCTTCTTGTCACCTCAGTTCTTGCTCCCAAGACCTGAAGGCTCCTGGGGACAGCAGGCCTACTCAGAACCCCTTCTTTTCTCCTAAACTTAATACTGACTAAGCCACCAAAGCTGATTGGTGCCGTTTTCTAAACTCTGTGTGGCTCAAGCCCTCAATCAGCTTTCCTGAGACACATTACGTTCCTGGGTATACTCATTCCTATGTCCAGTCTCACTCCTGTCCATCCGCCCGCCCTCTTGGACCCTAAGTCAGAAAGTGCTGTCCACCGAGGAAACTTCCAGGGCCTCACTCTCTCTCGGAGACGAGGCCAAAGTCCTGTCACACATGACTTGCATTTTATAATCCAACTCCACCTTACATCTTCAACTTGATTCCTGCTTCTCTCAATCGCAGTCCCTACACTCCGGCCACAGGGAGTTATCCAGAAGCTCTGGAACACAGAGGTGGCACTGCCATGATTTCCGTGTGCTTTTCCCTGCAGCAGTGAGGCCTTTCCTCCTTTTCTGTCTGCCTATTGTACTCCTAATCAGTAACCCCTGAGATGTGCCTTTCTTCCCAAAGCATTCTGTGTGCATTTGACACTGCCAGACGCCAACATGAAACAGTGATTCCAGGACCATGAGTGCTGGGCTGTGGCTGTGCCAGCCTGTGAACTACACTGGCTTGCACTGTGTGGCTGCTCCAGTTGACGTTAATCCTGTCACCAGCACTGGCGACGGGGAATTACCTATCATGATTCAAGCAGAGGCCTGGCAAGGATGTGTCCATGAGTTGCGTCCTCTAGGAAACCGGTTCCTGGTAAGCCAGGAACCATCTTGCAAGGGCGCTCGGGCCTCCACTGAAGGACGAGACCCCACGGACAGAGGGGCTGTGTGGAGAGCGGAAGTGCCTGTGGGTTCTAGTGAGATCCAGCTGTACTCGGGCTCCTAATCACGCTGACGAGAAAAGAGCGGCACAGCCAAACCTCAGAGCCACAAGAAATAAATCACCACTATTTTAATCAGTAAGTTTGGGATGGTTTTTTAAGCAGTCACAGACAACATGAACCTAGTGAATGTTTACTAAGTAAATGAAGCTGTTATGTGGTTGGGTCTGAAAAGTACTGGGCAAATACATTGTTTATCTGGGACAAAAATATCGTTAACACAAGTCTTCTCCTTCTCCTTCTTTTCTGCACAGGAGACTGAAGCCAGGACCCTGTGCCTGCCAAGGCCACTGCTGAGCTACATGCTCAGCTTTGCTAATCTGTCTGTGACTCAGCTACCGCCTCACATCAGGCTCCTGCAGACTGTGCCTCATCTGGACGAAAACTTCAGGTTCCACTTTGTGAGGAGGAACTATTTTTCTGTGACGAGTGCAAAGAAGATCATGAATTTCTAAAACCACAGATAACCTTGCCAACTTATCAGTAAAGCACAGACTGGGACAAGAGCCTTGCTGTCCCCAAACCTATACTTCTAGAACCCCCATTTCCCTTTCCACATATGTTAGAAAACACAATGTATAAGAAGAAAACCTGGTCCTGAGTTTACTTTAAAAATAAGATAAACAACAATTCCTTAAAAACAAAGTAAAATCCCAATTCTTACCTCCAGTGTCTTATCCAACTTGGCAGCCAGCCTCCCGATTTCGTATAAGAGCTGGGGGCTGACAGGCGTCTGGGCTACGGGTCTTCCAGGGAGGAACGTCAGAAGCCTCACCAGGTGGCTTCTGGTTTCCAAGCTGTTATCTAGATGGATGCAATGATATATGGCATTCTCAACTATTCTCTAAAAAAAAAAAAAGAAACAAACAAAACAACCTACAAACTGTTCTGCTTTTGTGATAATTATTTTTTAAAAATACAGAATACGATAAAGATTTTCTACTCAAAAATGAACTTCTCTCTAGCATTCTATGAGGCAGGGCTGAGCAGACAAGCACCTGAAGAATGCTGGAATTGCCACTTATAAATGAAGAACACAGTAGGCCAGCCTGGGCCTCTGAGTGAGTCCGAGTCAGCTTGAGCTACATAGCAAGACCCTATCTCAACAAACCCAAATAGAGGGCCGGGGATTTAGCTCAGTGGTGCCACCGCCTGCCTTGCAAGCGCCAAGTTCCTGCATTTGAAACCCAGTACAAAAAAAAAAAAAAAACAACAAAAATAAAAG